CAGCGTGCTGTCCGCTCGGCCGACCGGCTCCCTTTTAGTTTAATTGAGTTTAAGTTGGGATAGTTTAATTTGGTTCTCTTTGTCTCTGTATGTGAAACAAGTATCCCATTCATGGGGTTATACATGGGTTTGAGCATTATAAGGACTACATCGTATACAGGAAAGATATCCACTCGTCTGCGTATATTCATTATTGACGTTGTTTGGGTCAAACATAAGTGCGAAAATCTTAAATGATTCTTAATCTTAATGAAAATCTTAAAAAAAAATCTTAAAGACATTTCCAAAGTCTTCATTTTCCCCGCTGGTTTGTTAATGGGGGACAGTTTTGAGGAGGGTCGCGTGTCCTTCTTTATAATGATGATAACCTAAATAACCCAACGATCTGTGTAGTGGTCTTCAAGCACATGACTACCACAACATATTAATGACCTGAACACTCGACAGTAACCTCAGATACAGGCAAGCATGTTCCTCCTTGTGAACAATGACCGGTAGAAGTGAACATAGTTGAACCTCGCAGAACAGCCAACAGAACATAAACAACCTAACCTATTCACAATATGTCAATATAATAACATTTATTTACAATTTAGACAATTTTTATTTTGACTGAACAGCTTTTTTAAATTATTGAATGCGTCTTTGGGGTCGGCCGCTGGATGGAATGGACATAAGTCTGCCTATAGGTTGAGGTACTGATCATTGTGTGTTTTGTAATCCCTCACGCTTCTCCACACTCGCTGTATATTGACCTTGATCATTACTATCTTTTTTTTTCAGTCCAACGACTGTGGTAAATTACGAATTATAAAATCAATTATTTTATTAGTTTTGAATTTCAACATATGTGAGGGTTAGTAATTCGCGCCAGAGTCAAAGAAAACGGGCTGTTGGTTATGTGAAACGACAATACTTGGGTCAGGAATTTTTATTTTTTTAGAAATTTATTAACTCTCTCTCTCCATTGTCCTGCTGTGGATGCTGTGGCCCCCCAGCGTCTGCACGCAAGTCTATTGTCTACACGCAAGTCTATTGTCTGCACGCAAGTCTATCGTCTACACGCAAGTCTATCGACTACACGCAAGTCTATCGTCTGTATTTGCTGATGGTTGTAGTTGCTTCCTCCCCATTTTTTTTGTTCGATGGTTAGAATTTTTCTTTCTGATTGCTGGTCCTAAGTCTTACTTAACTATTTGTCCCTGGAACATGGCCTGCCTACATATTTACCACCCTGTCCCCAATTCCTGCTAACACAGAGGTGCTGGCTGCCATTCATGGTGAAAATGTCGAAACAATATCACCACAACCACCTATAACCTCTCCCCCATAACCCCCAACCCCCCACTCCCAAAATGCAATCACCACTACCACCATTACCGCCACTATTACCATCACCACTACCACCATCACCACCATCACTGCCTTCAGAACCACCATCAAGCACTGAAGACTTTATTATTTCAACAAATAACAGTTATGTCGAAGGGAATAAGGTTGTATAAACAGAGTTAAGTCCGGATTGGGGAACCGTTGTTGTGGACTTTGGACTCTGTCCTTTAGACCTAACTTGTTTACCATATAAGTAAACAATTTTGTTACAGGTTTGAGCAGCAATAGTTGCAAATTTGCAAACAATAAATCAATTATGCCGGGAAATAAATTCAGCAAAATACTCACAGTTATTGTCAGACGATTTAGACAATACTTTTAAAGAAAGAATGTAAGATGCAATCTTTCGGCAAAAGATTGTAAGATTATAAGATACAGTCTAAACATCATAGCAAGAAAAAGCAGTCTAACTGATAGCTATCTCAGTCGAAGCCTGAAACGACTGAGATAGCAGAAACGACTTCTCAGAAACCAGAATGGGGGACGGAATATGTAGACTTTTACAGATGTCTTAAGGCTTTGTTATAGTCTTGGTGAGCAGAAAACCACTTAGGTTTTCTTAAGTGGTTTTGGGGCCACACTAATATAGCCTCAGTGGAGGCTTAATTTTTACCTTGACTGTTTCTAAGTTCACTTCTAAATAATGCTTACCTCATAGTACCTACCTATTAGTGACGCATGGAAAGTGAGTTCTAGCTGCAGGCGATGAGTCACAATAACGTGGCTAACGTATGTTGACCAGACCACACACTAGAAGGTGAAGGGACGACGACGTTTCGGTCCGTCCTGGACCATTCTCAAGTCACAATCGACTTGAGAATGGTCCAGGACGGACCGAAACGTCGTCGTCCCTTCACCTTCTAGTGTGTGGTCTGGTCAACGAGTTCTAGCTCTTTATACCCTGCCTACTAGCTATGTTTTCCCTAATTTACAACCTTTTTTGATGTGCCAATTACTCAATTATTGAAACCAAGTGTGTGTGTGTGGGTTTTAAGGTCCCTTAAAATATATGTATATTTTTAGATATCCCTTAAAAAATATACTATTTTCCTTAATATAGGACAGATGAATAAGTAAATAGTACCAGGCCTTGAGTATATCCTGAATACAATAACCATACAGCAATTGTATAATTAATAGAATAAGACAAATTATTGTGTTAACTGGTCTTATCTGCAGGAGGACTTTGATGGATTTTCAACCAGTTACTAAGTGGTCCGGGTGTGACCTATGGACCACTGTGGCACAAGACTGGACGAAACTGCCCGAAACGCTTTGCGTAATAGTGGCTTTAGGTATTGTATATTCTACCTCTATCTATAAATCCATCAATGTTTATATCTTACCTTGTATGTATGTACTTTACCAAAATAAACATTTGATTTGATTTTGATTTGACTGGTACTATACACCCTTCAACAATCATCATCAACAATCATCACCAACAATCATACCAACAATCATACCAACAATCATCACCAACAATCATCACCAACAATCATCACCAACAATTATCATCAACAGTCATCACCAACAATCATCACCAACAATCATCACCAACAATAATCACCAACAATCATCACCAACAATCATCACCAACAATCATCACCAACAATTATCACCAACAATCATCATCAACAACCCTCATTAATTGCACAATCCATACCAAAGTATTGCCATCATCACAGCCATCTTAACCACCACTAACTTCACCATCTTACCAGTACCAAAGCTGCTGCCAACACTATTCTCACCACAATCACCACCATCACATGTACCACAATCACTTGTAGTGACGCAGTAAATGCATGTAAACGACTTCCGTACCACCACCATTACCACAATCCTCACTATCACCATCACCACCATGATTCACCATCATTCACCTCCCTCACCATCATCCCTCACTTCCACCATCCTCACCAATCACTCACCACCACTACCGTCAACTCCATCATCCTTCACCATCACTCACCACCACCACTACTCTTCTCACCATTCACCACCCTCATTCACTACCATCACCATCATCACCATCACCAGGGGACAATAAGGAATGACTACAGGAGCGTAGAAGCCTAGCAAGATGGGTCACGCCTCGATGAACCGGCTGTCTGTACTCACCTACTTGCGTCTGCAGGATCGAACTCTGACTCTTGGATCCGGCCTTTCGAGCATCGGTCTGTGTGCCACAAATCCTCCACCTGTACGTTGTCCTACACCCAGCCACCTTAGAGTTGTCCTGCTTTTCCTCTTTTTTCTCATTTTTTTCCATTTTTTGCTCACTATTCCTACACCATCATCCGTTTTTCACCTTTGCCATAACTTTCTGCCCTATGCGATGTCTCCTGTTCGTCTCTCTATCTCACTTCCGTCATTTCTCGGCTTTATCTGTTGTCTCAGTGGTTTGTGTGTTATTAAATGAATTACTCTTTGAGTTTCAATCTCTCTCTCTCTCTCTCTCTCTCTCTCTCTCTCTCTCTCTCTCTCTCTCTCTCTCTCTCTCTCTCTCTCTCTCTCTCTCTCTCTCTCTCTCTCTCCTCTCTCCCTCTCTCTCCTCTCCTCTCTCTCTCCTCTCTCTCTCTCTCTCTCTCTCTCTCTCTCTCTCTCTCTCTCTCTCTCTCTCTCTCTCTCTCTCTCTCTCTCTTTCCTATTCTTTGTTTCTTAATTCTGTTCTTTGGCTTCCACCTTCTTTGCATGTTTTCGCTCTCTCCCACTCTCACACACGCCTTATTGTTCTCTCTATCTCTCTATTTCTCTCTCTCTAGCTCTCTTTATCTCCCTCTCTATACTCTCTCTTCAGTGACACTAATTTAAAAAGAAATCTCAAAATGTCTGCGTCAAATTGGACTTCGTTTGTCTGCGTCAAATTGGACTTACTCTGTAAGCTTACAGAGTGTAGTTGGTCTTGACAGCTGGAAGATCTCTCGCAGATCATCATGTACTTAGGTTGTTAGAACCAGTTGGACTGACAGGAAAAAAATTCCAGTTAAATGATCAGCAAAATTAGATGGAATTCTTACATTTTCTCAGTGTATCTTAAAAGGAATATTAGTTTGAAGATCACACACACACAGAAATCACTATAGCGTGATGCATCAAACTCTTCGGTTTCAACTCTTTTTGACCATGTCGTAGCTCAGTCGATTAAGGCAGCGTCAGGGAGGCTCCCGGACGCAGGTTCGAATCTGCGTCACGGCCCTTGTTGATTTGTTCATTAGTTTGGAGGTCCTTAAGATGGATCATCTGCTCCCTTCTGTAAATGTTTATATATAGATCTTGACCATGAAATTTTTAGGTGGGTCATTGATATGATTTTTTTTTTTTAAAGGAAGCACGAAAATTGCTTTATTGTGTAATTTTTTTATTATTGCTTCCTTTATTGTCATATATATATTATTTGTAATTCCCATTTTCTATCACTTGCTCTGCTAAGTGTTCTTTCACTTTATTCTCTGCTTCCAATTCTCTTTCGCTTCTCCTTTCTCTTCACTGCTCAGCTGAGAGACTATACCAGTCTCCAAAACCAATTTTGCTTACAGTAGCCGCAGCCGGCGGTGATAGGAATCGTGTTCATTTGCATGTAAGCAGGAAGGGTTGGAATTAACATGTTGTGGGAGAGGCCGCCCCATAAACCTCTCCTCACCAGGGGGCAGCTGTTCCTTCGCCCCTCTCCAGTGGTGGCACCTCCTCCCTCGCCTCTCTCCAGTGGTGGCACCTCCTCCTTCTCCAGTGGTGGCACCTCCTCCCCTCTCCCCTCTCCCCTCTCCAGTGGTGGCATCTCCTCCCTCTCCAGTGGTGGCACCTGCCCCTTCGCCTCTCTCCAGTGGTGGCACCTCCTCCCTCTCCAGTGGTGGCACCTGCCCCTTCGCCTCTCTCCAGTGGTGGCACCTCCTCCCTCTCCAGTGGTGGCATCTCCTCCCTCGCCCCTCTCCAGTAGTGGCACCTCCTCCCTCGCCCCACTCCAGTGGTGGCACCTCCTCCCTCGCCCCTCTCCAGTGGTGGCACCTCCTCCCTCGCCTCTCTCCAGTGGTGGCACCTCCTCCCTCGCCTCTCTCCAGTGGTGGCACCTCCTCCCTCGCCTCTCTCCAGTGGTGGCACCTCCTCCCTCGCCCCACTCCAGTGGTGGCACCTCCTCCCTCGCCCCTCTCCAGTGGTGGCACCTCCTCCCTCGCCCCTCTCCAGTGGTGGCACCTCCTCCCTCGCCCTTCTCCAGTGGTGGCACCTCCTCCCTCGCCCCTCTCCAGTGGTGGCACCTCCTCCCTCGCCCCACTCCAGTGGTGGCACCTCCTCCCTCGCCCCTCTCCAGTGGTGGCACCTCCTCCCTCGCCCTCTCCAGTGGTGGCACCTCCTCCCTCGCCCTTCTCCAGTGGTGGCACCTCCTCCCTCGCCCCTCTCCAGTGGTGGCACCTCCTCCCTCGCCCCTCTCCAGTGGTGGCACCTCCTCCCTCGCCCCTCTCCAGTGGTGGCACCTCCTCCCTCGCCTCTCTCCAGTGGTGGCACCTCCTCCCTCGCCTCTCTCCAGTGGTGGCACCTCCTCCCTCGCCCCTCTCCAGTGGTGGCACCTCCTCCCTCGCCCCACTCCAGTGGTGGCACCTCCTCCCTCGCCCCTCTCCAGTGGTGGCACCTCCTCCCTCGCCTCTCTCCAGTGGTGGCACCTCCTTCCTCGCCTCTCTCCAGTGGTGGCACCTCCTCCCTCGCCTCTCTCCAGTGGTGGCACCTCCTCCCTCGCCCCACTCCAGTGGTGGCACCTCCTCCCTCGCCCCTCTCCAGTGGTGGCACCTCCTCCCTCGCCTCTCTCCAGTGGTGGCACCTCCTCCCTCGCCCCTCTCCAGTGGTGGCACCTCCTCCCTCGCCTCTCTCCAGTGGTGGCACCTCCTCCCTCGCCTCTCTCCAGTGGTGGCACCTCCTCCCTCGCCCCTCTCCAGTGGTGGCACCTCCTCCCTCGCCACAGGGAGCCACAGCACACATGGGTGCCTGTCAGGCCACGAGGCTAAAAGGCAGAAGTGTGTTGTTTAACAGTCACTTTGAGTGGTTAGAGAAGTGGCCTCAACTCCCCAGTTAACAAGTGGCTGTGATGGGCTCCACACGTTATTAACTGCCAATTAAACCCCCGAAGATCTTCCTTCGAGTCATAAAATCTTAGATTTCTGGACCAGTGGACGACCACCAGCCAGGCTAGAACGACTATCCCCGCCCCGTGAGACTATCCACCAGCATGCCCCATCTCCGAGCCACGACACTAACATCCCACTGGAGTCTTTACGACTAATTTACATACGTATAAATATCCTGACAGTGAGTTTAACGTTCGGAGTTTATTAGACGTGTCTACCGCTGCCGACTTTCCTATCACAGCCACACTTAAAACAATAAGCCACTGCACACCTCCTTGCAACAGCTTCCGAATTGCATGATGCCGCTGTCGTGCTGCGTAGCGGAGACAGCCCCCCTCCTCGTCTCTCTGGTGTTGCGGGCGTGCTTCCCGCGCGCGCCTATACTCACCCACGCCTACGCCTTCTCTCCCGCGCCCCTGCTCTTCCTCCTCCTCCTGGTTGCTCTGCCATGAATAGCAGCCATGTTTCAACCCAAGCTGAAAGTAATTATGATAGACCAAGTCTGTAAGGCTGAGAGTGGTGGCAGCTCGCGAGCCTGGCGCTTTGGGGCCCTCGGCGCCTAGCGGTCTTCTTCTCTCTCTCTCTGCCAGTTAACTCAGCGCACCTGTCCAGGACCGTAGATTCTCAGATAAGGCAAATGAGATGACTGGAGGAGATGGAGATGAGTTGTGGCCAGAGAGAGAGAGAGAGAGAGAGAGAGAGAGAGAGAGTTCCTGTGTGTATCCTGCGCAGTGGCGGCGGCGCAGGCACGGACGAAGGCGTTAGGATGCCTAAGGATGCTGCCAACTAAAATGGCGTCGTGTCGGAAATAGAAAAGGTGTTTTGATGAGAGGTGCTATCGTACGTCACGGCTCCCAGACGTACGGGAGAACGACGTATAGTGAGGAAATAAACATCGGAAAAGATTGAGGGAACGTAGATTAGTCGGCTCTGATGGCCACGGCCAAAAGGAAAAGAATAGGGAATTTGGATAAGGAGTAGTGGAGATGAAGAGGAAGACGAGATAAAGTGGGTATTACTGATGCATCAAGACAAAGGTGCTTGCTGAGAGAGGGAAGGAGTTAGTGGAGCACAGATATGGTGAAGTAGAGAGCAGCGTACAGGTCGGGATGGGAGGCAGGCTGCTTCTGGCTGTTGATGTGAGGGCACGGAGGGCAGGAGGGACGGCAGTGAGGGCTAGAGGGAGGGCAGTGAGGGGCTAGAGGGAGGGCAGTGAGGGGTAGAGGGACGGCAGTGAGGGCTAGAGGGAGGGCAGTGATGGCTAGAGGGGAGGGCAGTGAGGGCTAGAGGAAGGGCAGTGAGGGGTAGAGGGAGGGCAGTGAGGGGTAGAGGGAGGGCAGTGAGGGGCTAGAGGGAGGGCAGTGAGGGGTAGAGGGACGGCAGTGAGGGCTAGAGGGAGGGCAGTGATGGCTAGAGGGGAGGGCAGTGAGGGCTAGAGGAAGGGCAGTGAGGGGTAGAGGGAGGGCAGTGAGGGCTAGAGGGGAGGGCAGTGAGGGCTAGAGGGAGGGCAGTGAGGGGCTAGAGGGAGGGCAGTGAGGGGCTAGAGGGAGGGCAGTGATCGGCTAGAGGGAGGGCAGTGAGGGCTAGAGGGGAAGGCAGTGAGGGCTAGAGGGAGGGCAGTGAGGGCTAGAGGAAGGGCAGTGAGGGGTAGAGGGAGGGCAGTGAGGGCTAGAGGGGAGGGCAGTGAGGGCTAGAGGGAGGGCAGTGAGGGCTAGAGGAATGGCAGTGAGGGGTAGAGGGAGGGCAGTAAGGGGCTAGAGGGAGGGCAGTGAGGGGTAGAGGGAGGGCAGTGAGGGGCTAGAGGGAGGGCAGTGAGGGGTAGAGGGAGGGCAGTGAGGGCTAGAGGGGAGGGCAGTGAGGGCTAGAGGGAGGGCAGTGAGGGGCTAGAGGGAGGGCAGTGAGGGGCTAGAGGGAGGGCAGTGATCGGCTAGAGGGGAGGGCAGTGAGGGCTAGAGGGGAGGGCAGTGAGGGCTAGAGGGAGGGCGAGAGCAGTGAGGGCTGAGGGCAGTGAGGGGCTAGAGGGAGGGCAGTGAGAGGGCTAGAGGGAGGGCAGTGAGTGAGGGCTGGAGGGAGGGCAGTGAGAGGGGAGGGCAGTGAGGGGAGGGCTAGAGGGAGGGCAGTGAGGGGCTAGAGGGAGGGCAGTGAGGGCTAGAGGGAGGGCAGTGAGGGCTGAGGGAGGGAGGGCAGTGAGGGGTAGAGGGAGGGCAGTAAGTGAGGGCTAGAGAGGGGGAGGCAGGGGTAGAGGAGGGCAGAGGGAGGGAGGGCAGTGAGGGGTAGAGGGAGGGCAGTGAGGGCTAGAGGGAGGGCAGTGAGGGCTAGAGGGAGGGCAGTGAGGGTAGAGGGAGGGCAGTGGAGAGGGTAGAGGGAGGGCAGTGAGGGGCTAGAGGGAGGGCAGTGAGGGCTAGAGGGAGGGCAGTGAGGGCTAGAGGGAGGGCAGTGAGGGCTAGAGGGGGGGAGTGAGGGAGGGAGGGCAGCTAGAGGGAGGGCAGTGAGGGGCTAGAGGGAGGGCAGTGAGGGCTAGAGGGAGGGCAGTGAGGGGCTAGAGGGAGGGCAGTGAGGGGCTAGAGGGAGGGCTAGAGGGGAGTGAGGGCTAGAGGGAGGGCAGTGAGGGTAGAGGGAGGGCTGAGGGCTAGAGGGAGGGCAGAGGGCTAGAGGAGGGAGGGAGGGAGGGCATGGCTAGAGGGGAGGGCAGGAGGGCTAGAGGGAGGGCAGTGAGGGCTAGAGGGAGGGCAGTGAGGGCTAGAGGGAGGGCAGTGAGGGGCTAGAGGGAGGGCAGGGAGGGCTAGAGGGAGGGCAGTGAGGGCTAGAGGGGGAGGGAGGGCTGGAGGGAGGGCAGGAGGGCAGGGAGGCAAGAGGGCTAGAGGGAGGGAGGGCTGGAGAGGGCAGGGAGGGCTGGAGGGAGGGCTGGAGGGAGGGCAGGAGAGGAGGGCAGGAGGGCAGGGAGGGCTGGAGGGAGGGCAGGGAGTGAGGGCTGGAGGGAGGGCAGGGAGTGAGGGCTGGAGGGAGGGCAGGAGTGAGGGCTGGAGGGAGGGCAGGGAGGAGTGAGGACTGGAGGGGGTGGAGGGAGGGCAGGAGTGAGGGCTGAGAGGAAGGGCAGGAGTGAGTGAGGGCTGGAGGGAGGGCAGGAGTGAGGGCTGGAGGGAGGGACAGGGCAGGAGAGGCAGAGAGTGAGGGAGGGGGAGGGCAGGGAGGGCAGGAGTGAGGGCTAGAGGAAGGGTAGTGAGGGAGGGCTAGAGGGAGGGCAGGAGTAAGGACTGGAAGGAGGGCAGGGAGGGCAGGAGTGAGGGCTAGAGGAAGGGTAGTGAGGGAGGGCTAGAGGGAGGGCAGGAGTAAGGACTGGAAGGAGGGCAGGGAGGGGCAGGGAGGGCTAGAGGGAGGGCAGGAGTAAGGGCAGGGAAGGAGTGGGTGAAGACATCATCGGCCACTAAGCAAGGGGTCACTGGCCCTCAAGGGACAAGGAGCTAACAAGGTAGCCAACACTTGAGGGGGTCTTCATGTTTATAACCTTGTCTACACTTCTAACCCTGTATCTCCTCCCGCTCAAAATACGAACCAACAACGCAACCTCAATTACCAAACTCTTTATGACTGGACGTTGCTAACCCCAAAAAAATAGAAGGTTTTATTTCATGTTGGCTCCACCGAATGACTGCTTGGCCTCTCTAACCAGTGGTCGTTACTGCGAGGCGGTAGTTTGTGTGTCTGTCTTACTTTCTTCTGCCAGATTGAATAAAGACCAAACTGGCCCCGTCCCAAAAAATTATACATCACGCCATCATGAATAAGCTGGTATGGAGGTTCTGGAGTGTATCTAGAGAAATTCAACCAGTAATTTTAACGACTGTGCTAACAGATGATGTTGATGGTATCTGGTGGCCGTTGTAGCAGGCTGTGTTATCCTCCTGCTCATCTTGGGGGGGGACCAGCACACTCATCCATACTCACAGGGTATACTGCAGGTTGTGTATTACTAAAACATATCGGCAGATTACTCATATTCGACTCAGGAACGTTTAAAGGGAAGTGGGGAAATGTTGAATTTTTATATTCTGCTGAGTAAATTGGGGAGGAGGAGGAAGAAAGGGGATAAATGGGCCCCCCCCCCTCATTAGTAAGCTCTCTCTCTCTTCTCTCTCTCTCTCTCTCTTCTCTCTCTCTCTCTCTCACTCTCTCTCTCTCTCTCTCTCTCTCTCTCTCCTCTCCCTCTCTCTCTCTCTCTCCTCTCTCTCTCTCTCTCTCTCTCTCTCTCTCTCTCTCTTCTCTCTCTCTCTCTCTCTCTCTCTCTCTCTCTCTCTCTCTCTCAAATCATCCTAAACGTGGCCCTTGTCTGCAAGTTTGTTATGAATATTCATGTCATTCTCCTGTTTCCAAGCCATACATCTTGGCTGTGACTTCCTCACCCTTTGTATACGAAGACAGGATAAATCAGCGGGTTCTTGTGCTGTCTTACTGCCTCGCTTTTGTGTTCTTGATAAACCAAAGACATTTGCTGGTACTGGTTCATCCAAGCTTTGAAACACAGTCTTTGCTGAGCTCTTTTGATAGAGTGCTTCGCAGAGTTCAAAGTGTTCCACAGTTCAGAGTTTCTGTATCACGGGGAAGTGTGATATAGAGTCCTGGCTCTGTAAGAAGGGTTTGTTATTAGAAGGCAGCCTCATTAGATGTTGAGATACAAGTCTGGTCCTAACCACACACTCAGACCTTGACAAAGCACTCAGGAGAGTGCGAAAGACTTGGTGTAAATTCCTTACAACAATTTCACAAATACAGGCGTGTGAGTTTTGATCCTATGTTATTAAGCCTGTGAGAAGACATTACCATTACTAATTATAACTACTATTATTTTTATAGTTATCGTTATTATTATTATTGCACAGAGA